CTAGGGGTGCATTATGGAGGAAGATGCATTGTGTTGTTGGAAAAGTGATTGTCTTCGAAGTTTTTCCTACAGGAAAACGGTAGGACAGGACTCCATGAGGCATCTAAGTAGTATGTTGAAATCCATGTACCTCAGTGTACCTTGTACATAGGCTGATCACCGCAAATAATTGTATGGACCATACACCTTTGAACCGCCACTACAAAGTTGAGAGGAAGTCTGTGCGCGGGGCATTCCAAAGATAGGAGCGATTAACGCCAAAAAGTTAACTCCCACTCCGACATTGCTGACACTAACAAACTGGGCGATTGTAGCGCGCTCAAGCATCAAAGATTGCCAGTCAGACATACTTTGACATTAAAGTAAAAGTCGTTTCCCATTTCAGGAAGAAAACCGCTGGTACTGTAGGGACATATGGGTGGTTGTATGAAGGTCTCGGATCCGTGAGTGTACAATTAAATGGTCAAAGGAACGGCTCACTTAAGTCCCAGTCTTGCTCCCAAAAGAGTCCCTTATTAATGAGAACAGTCGGCCCACCATGCTGATGAAAAGCGATTAGAAGGATGACGTTGTCCTCCTTATATATCTATTCGTTCACTAGTCAATGGGTTCGAGCTCCTGCACTGCATTTGGTATCACTCTCAGATAAACGGCAATGTGGAATCCGGTCCTGGACCCTACGCGTAATAGCGAGCCGTCTATCCAACGCCACCCACCATCGCCATGCGTAGATGTTTACTTTAAATGATTATGTCATAGGCAGGAACAAAAAAAGGTCCGTATCCAACCGTAGCTCAGGCTGTGTAAGTAATGGTCGGATATCAAGCGGAAGTTGGTTCAGCAAAGGTCAACGAAGGTTATTACCGTTCCATTAGCTAGCCTTTTTTCGCCTCCCACAACTTATATATAGCTCCTTCAAAGGCGAATGATGCACAGCGGTATATTCTCATTCATTTGCTCGCAACTTGTAGGTAGGGGAACCATACTCTCCAGCGCCACCGAACGCTAGGGCACAGAGGATGGGTGGCCTACTTGGCAGGCCTATGAAGGTGCTACCAAACGGAGATAAAGCCCCTTTGCCTATTCATCTATTCAATACACTAGTAAAAGATGTCGAGACATGAGTTTTGATTGACAGCT